TAAAAAATTAGCTTATAAAATATATTATTATTATATTAAAAAATAGAAATATAATATCAATAATATTTCTTGTAAAGCTTTTAAAATATAATAATCAAAATTATTATATTTTCTTATTGTAATATTTATTAATTTCTAAATATATTATTAAATATTTGAATTTATTAGATTATAAATAACTAAACTATAATTTTCATATTCATAAAAATTATAAAATTTCTAAAAAATAATAATAAATAATAAATATTCAAATTTTAAAGTTAATTAATAAAAATTGTTCATTATAATTTTTGTAATATTAATAATTTGAAATTCTTTATTTAGCAAAAATCAATTAATATTAATAAATTTTTATATATTTATAATTTTAAAAAATACTATTAAAGTAATATATTTATATTTTTATATTTTAAATAAATTCTAATAATTAATGACAAATAAAACTTAAACTCATTTTGACGGTTTTCCTTGGATATAAAAGGTTTTCTTAATCCAACCCGACCAAAAAACCCATTTTCATGAAGATTACGACGTATGATTTTAGAAACTTCCAAAGCAGTATTACATTTTCGGTAACTTCGTTAATTGCTGTTGTCAATTTTCTTTTAAAATATTGATTATTCTTCGGGTGGCTCTAGAATTTAATATTCGTGGTCTACCGCGTCGGAAAGCAAATGTGGTTCGGCCAAACTTTTTATATTTGTGTATAACGTTATGAACTGTGGATTATTTCTTTTTCGGAAAAACCACACTTCCAAGCACCGATTATCTCATCACGCTCAAAATCCGTAATCTGGCAATTTCTGCGAGTGTTGGATGTGTTTGACATAAATTTTTTACGTCGTTTGAAAGCTTACGATTTCAGCTTTTCTATGGTGCATAAAATCTAAAGTCATCAAACGTTTGTATTTTATAAAATGGATAAACTTCTTTACTAAGAAGTAAATACAAAATTTAATCCGTGAATATGATAGAATAGGCCTTTTCTGAGCATATTCACGGATTAAATTTTGTATTTACTTCTTAGTAAAGAAGTTTATCCATTTTACAAAATACAAACGTTTGATGACTTTAGATTTTATGCACCATAACGAGCTATTGCACCACGTTATAATTGGATTTTTGTGTGTAGTACAATTAATGTGACAGATTAAAACGAAACCAGATTAAAATGAAATCAGATTATAACAAAAAATCAAATCAAAATAAAATTTGGCTCTTTGTTATGGGATAAAAATTTCAGAGAAAGGTTAGGGTTAGGTTAGAGCATAGAGTATGCATTAAAATCTGTAATATATTGACCTATGATTATTTAAACATCCCACTCTGTTTCGTTTTAATCTGATTTCATTTAATCCGCCACAATTAACGATTAAAATCACCCCCATTATTTACGTCGATCACTCCCGATTCTAAACTTTTGTCCACCGAGTGTACCGTCATTATGTACATGTACTTTCTTTGGGGGCTGCAGGACTCGGAATATTTTAAACCGTTGTATTGTTATCCTTTTTAATTTAACACATGTATCTAATATATTAAGTATCACGTATCGGTATATGCAAACACTTTTTTAGTATCACTTTCGGGCAAATTGCCTAATGCATTATCGATTGTCGACTTCATTCTGTAAAAAATTATCGATACGTATTGGTATCGATATTTGAGAATAACAAAAAATATTATACAACTACATGTACGATTCGATCAATGATGCACGGGGGCAAAAATACATGTAAATGGCGCCTTTGTCTTAGCCCACAAACTCATCGTTATTACGTACATGTACATATGTGAAAATTTTCCATCGCCAACTATAAATACAAAACGAAATTAGACTATCTAAATAATTGAAAATGTCTACCAAACAAATCAATAACGATAATAGTTTTTGGTACGAACCTTTCATTGACAATGGAATTATTCCCGATTTCATTTTACGAGCAGCAATTCGTCATATTCTTCGCGGAAGAGCATATGAACTTGAAGGTAATGAATTTACGGAAAAGCATATCAATAAAATGCTTTATATAGAGAAACTTAAGGAGAGACCGATCGCTGAAGAGCAGGACGCTGCTAATAAACAGCATTATGAGGTAATATAAATATTCAAATTATGGATGGTTGAATTTAAGTTTATCAACATTTCGCGTATCTTCAAAAAAAGGTTTCGACTGGATTTATGAAACTGTCTCTTGGAAAACGCATGAAATATTCTTGTGCTCTTTTTCCCACAGGTAAATATTAACAAAATTCCAGGTGACATAACTTATAAAGTAACCGAGCTTTTATTGTAATTGATTAAAGGCAAAGAGACGCTCGACCAGGCTGAAGATTTAATGCTCGAATCTTATTGTGAAAAAGCTCAAGTTAAAGACGGAATGAAGATTCTTGATCTAGGTTGTGGCTGGGGAAGTTTATGCTTATATATTTGTGAGGTAACAATCAATAAATGATTCTCGTCTTTTTTATCAATTATCTTTATTGATCAATCTTACCTTTAATAAGAAATATCCAAATGCCAAAGTGACTGCACTTTCGAATTCATACACACAACGAAAGCATATTCAAAGTCTCGCAGATGAGCGAGGATACAAGAACTTGACTGTAACTACTGCCGATGTAAAAGAATTTGACTTCGAAGAAGAATCAAGGTAATAAAATTTTACCTTGAATTTAATCCAAATAATATTCTAATTTTTTCGTTGAATTTTAAAAGATTTGATCGCATAATTTCAATCGAAATGTTTGAACACATGAAGAATTACGAACATCTATTGCATAAAATATCGACTTGGTTGACGTCGAATGGACTTTTATTTCTGCATACGTTTGCTCATAAATCTCAACCATATGATTTTGTAGAGGATGATAGCTGGATGACGCGATATTTCTTTACGGGTAGCTAAATAATTACATTCAATAGCATATGAGTATTTTTACCAAAGCGTAAATGGCTATATGTGAAATTTTATAGGCGGAACCATGCCCTCGTCCGATTTATTTCTCCATTTTCAAAATGATCTGACATTAGTGAATAAATGGCTCGTCAATGGGAAACATTACGCAAAAACGAGCGAAGAATGGCTAAAATTAGTAGATAAAAACAAAAAAGACGGATTTCCGTATCTCGTGGAAACTTATGGTAAGCAATATTAATTTTATCAATAATTTTATTTTGTCAATAACCTCATTATCTTTTTTCATTCGTTATCGATAAAAAAGGACGGGAAAATGCAGAAGCTTGGTTTAATCGTTGGCGTACATTCTATATTTCTGTCGCAGAATTTTTCGGAATGAATGATGGTAACGAGTGGTTTGTCGTCCACTATCTGTTTAAGAAACGGGCGTGAAAACATTTATATTTATATTAAAAAAATTACCTTAACGTTAACATTAATAATTAAATTACGAATATTAATTTAATCTGTTTGCCAAGTTAATAAATCAAAAGTTGAAAATGCATACCGATATCGATACAATTTTAAGGCTGACGTTAATGATAAATTTCTGACGTTAAAAGTGACATAACGATAACAATAACAACAACTAACACATCATTTAGTACTATGGTGAGAATTTCATTTCTCCATATTTAAACTGCTTCCTCAATTATCAACTACGATTATAATCAATATCAACAACAATGCTGTCCAAGCAACTGCACAACTAAAGACTTGAACAAAAAATGACAGCACGACCCAATGGGTGTTCGAGTAAATACCGAACGTTCAAAACCATAAATCATGGCAAGTCTTTAACTCTTTAATAATCATGAAAATCTAGTCACGAAACAGAAATCAATAATATCGCTTGTCTTTAATAACTTTCCTATCCAACCAACGCGATTGTTCGTATCACTGTGACTACCACCTCCGATCTTCATTGTTATCATAAACTTACGACGGGAATGGAAGCAGGAACTATTCTAGGCCACAAAGGAATCGGCATTGTCGAAGAAGTCGATAAGGTTAAACCTGGTGAACGTGTCGTAATCTCTTGTTTTGTTAGTTGTGGCGGTTACGAATATAATCATAATACATACATATACCGATACGTAACGATAACAGTAATATGTCATAGAACAGCCGGATGTTTCGGAGTTAATTATCAAACGCGTAAGTACATGTCGTCAATACAAAAGATACCAGTCTAAGAGATTCAACATTTTATATTTCAAGAATAAATTAATGCTTCTTTCTGACATCAGACCAACGGCGTGGTACGTAATCTATTGAGAGGGTTAACGTATAAAACAATAATTTCTGGTGTTTTCCATTTTTACTCACTTGTTTCACCGAAATACTGAATAATTTTGTTCGTTCTTTATATGGTGCAGGAACTCTTAAATCGACAATATGTTTCAATTTTAAAATGTTACTACTCAAATAGAGGCAAACTTTTCAAAATCTGACCGGTAACTTTGTAGAACTTGTTATAAAGAACAAAGTTACTGGTCAGATTTTGAAAATTTTGCCTCTATGTTGAGTAGTAGCATTTTAAAATTGAAACATATTGTCGATTTAAGAGTTCCTGCACCATACTAATACGTATTCCATTAATAGGTTGTGCCCATTGGATTATTGGTAATCTCGTTTGCGAAAGATCGTGGAGTGAACCATATGTTGGTATGTTAATAAAATTATAGAACCTACCTACTTACAACAACACTAATAATCACTTCTTTAATTAAATTGAATACCTGAGCGTCTTGCAATCGCTTGCCGAGACGATAAACTTCATCGAAGAGAAAGACGTCATCGGAAAGATCAAGTCGCATGTGCCTAGTGATTCGACGTTGCAATCGATGCGGTTGGAGTAACAAAGCCAATCAAACATAAAGTTGAACAGAGTCTGGTGCTTGAGCAGGATAATATTGTTATGTTAGAAGAAGCAATTCGATGTACTAAAAAAGGTATATTATTATTTTTTTTTCTAGTGGGGACAGTATATGACATCCAATACTGCGCCATGACACCAATTTTGAATCGTAGATCTTATACATAATAATCAATCTGACCAATCAGAATTCTAATATAATACATGTATTAGTAATTTCACAAATTTATATAAAGGATTTATTTCCTAGCCTAGTTAAGAAGTTGATAGAATTTACATGAAACATCACTTTAAGAGTTCCTGCACCATATTTATTATAACGATAAATATTTAGCCTTTACAGTTTTTAATAATAATAATGGATTTCCATTTAACGTCTCCGAACTCATATAAGGAAGCACTCTGTAAATTTCTGGGCAGGTAAGCCCAAAATTGGCAAGGAAAGCATCAATATTCAATAATATATTTGCAGGGTGAGTCGCCACGCACAATTTTCTCTTCGTGAATTTTTCTCAGACCACAGATAATATAATGTAGATATTCTAATTTTTGATCCCAAGTCAATTCTTCGTAGTTTGAATTAATATATTCTCTATCTTCTGTGCCTCATTACTATCGAGCATTCATTTGTAGCTGAACTTTAGAGCAGTCCGAAACTATTTTTGAAAAACAAAAAAACGATTTGCTTACACTTTAGAAATCGCTCATTTTTGCCTCGTTTATAATTCACTGTGAATCACGGAATGATTTCAACACAACTTGGTATTCATCATCTCTTTTAAATTCATTATATTCGTGATTCAACTGTAATAACGCACGAGGCTTTATAAATTTTTCCAAGATATTCAACATTGAAAAATTTCTCAAAAAGGATTCATCTGTAATGCCGTCTGATTTTCATGCATTCTTTTATTAGACAGTCGATATCCTTACTTTCGCTAGACCATTAGTTTCATAAAGTTGATAGTGAAAATCGAAACATTCACTGAAGCGATCATTTTTTGACGAGTACATTTACTGCAATCATGAATTGATATCTCTTCATTCTTATCGTTATTAATTTTATCTAAATACGTTTTTGAACCATAAAAAAAATAGGAATAGATTTAAGATCAACAAAAAAATATTAGAGTAATTTTATCTGAATTGCTTCATTTGAGACATACAAACTGACACTTGTTGATCCGACATCGATATTTATATCAATATATGTAGTATCGGTACGTATAATTTACCTGACACTTGTAGCGGTAGATCCTAAATATTTTTCATTGATGTTAACATACATCTTTTTATAGTGGATAATATTATTAGAAGTTTGTTTACTAATTGTTAAATTAGCTTATAAATTTGGCCTTGGGTTGGGAGAGGGTATTAAACAACAAATAAAATATTAAGAGAAAAGAGAGGGTATCTAAGTCCTATGCTAATTTCTACAGAAATTATGATAATTCAAAGATATAATAATAATATGAGAGGGTTGAGGAAGAGTAAAGATAAAAAAGAGAAGAGTGTAAGTATAAAATATTAAAGAAATAAATAATAAAGAGGGTTTGAAAGGCTAATTCTCTGCACTTATGTAAAACCTTCCAGAGCTAAGACAATACAATTAGTAATAACAAAGACTCTTTTACTTTGTTCTTCTCATGAATGAGAAATATCAAAATAACAAAAATCAAAAATACTTAATATCCAAAATTAATAATTCCAATAACAGTAATTTGTTCAGTACAATACAATATAAAGCTAATAATCCAATAACAGCAATTTGTTTAGCACAATATGATCTAAAGCTCAAAGTCAATAACAGTGATTTGTTTGACACAATATGATATAAAGCCATTAGTATTTTGTTTAGCACAATATGATCCAAAGCTACTTGTACAAGTTTTGATGAGTACAATTGAAGAGGCAATTATTATTTGAAAGAAGATTTTTGTTAAGAGAGAATTTATTTTTCATTTGCAACATGTCAAGTTAATTTATAGATTTTTCAAAAATACAATTATTATAATATAATATTTGAAAGTGAAATAATTGAATAAAAAAGTGAAAAAGTGAAATAATAGGTAAAAAGGTAAAAATAAAAGATAAAATAATAATAACAGATAAAAATAAAATGTAAAATAAGTAAAATATAAGGTAAAAACTAAAATAATAAAAGGTAAAATAATAAAAAGATAAAATAAAAAGGTAAAATAATGGGTAAAATAATAATGTAAGGTAAAATAAAAGGTAAAATAATAAAAGATAAAATAATGGGTAAAATAATATGTAATATCTAACAAGCTATTTTTACTATCATATTTCTAATATTTTTAGAGATTTTCTGTTTTTCTGCTATTTTTGAAAGTTATGGTTTTTCTCGAATTTATGAAATTATTGTTACGTACTACTGTAACAATATCCAAAACCACCTCTAATAAAATTCGCTCGATACATCAAAAACTCTCGATATAGTGATAGTAGAAAATTTTTTGTTAATACATGTAGATTTTTTTTGATACTTGGAGAGTTGCACTATCACTACGTATGTAATAAAAAATCTATAACGATAAGAATTAAATTAAGATGATAGAATAGTGAATTCTGACAATTCGACTAGAATGAGCAAAATTACAAAAATTCAGTTAGTTCTACAAAATTCAGTTAATGTTCAACAAGATGCGTTCTAACGAGCTCAACAGTTCTTCGTAAGTAGTTTTTTTTTTAGAATGATCGTTTATTCTAGCAAGCCAGTTCGGCGAGTTGACTTACGTGTTGTGATATTATCTGTTTAAATGTTATTAAATTTAGTATTACTACATATATATACACAAATTTTAGCTAAAAGATGTTTAAGCTATGTAAATGATTATAAAGTAAGGAGTATAAAGTGAGTATAAAGTAAGGAGTATATAACGAAACACAATAATGCTATTAGTTATAGCGCCTATTGATTGGAAAGTATTTATTTACAAGTGATAATATTCGTTTTATTTTCTATTAATTTTTTTAGCCCAATCGAGCAATTCTTGGCACTTGTTATTTCCTGATAAGTGAAGGTGCCGTAAGTGAGAAAAATTTGCCTTTACTAAAGGTTCGGTTAATTCCGAGGTCACGTGCGTACAGTCTTTGAATTGGAGGGTGGCCAAGTTTATGCATGATGCCAATTCAGTAAGAGGTTCGCAACTTTCGAAATCTACTTTTTCGAGCTCGACGGTGCGTAATGCGTGTTGCTGATGAACAAGAGCTGGTCCAATTATATCGGCACGTTCAGAGTTGTATAGTCGGAAGGCATGCAAGTTTTTAGGCGCCGATAAGAGTTTATTCCAATTTATTTTCATTTCGGATGAGTTCCGATGTCGAATCATATCAGACCATTCGATATCCAAGTTTTTCTAAATCAAACATAACGAAATTTTAACGTTAAGGTGAATAACTTGGCATATATAATAATACGTAATTAGGAATTAGCATTTACCACATTGCACGAGATAGTTGCCAAACTTTTAAATATGTCCGAGAACATGTATTTTGTTGCTTCAATCTTTAATTCTTTAATATTGCTCAGTAAAGTTTTAGCTTCGGGTGTAGCGAGAGTGTCATCATGGTCTTGAACCGGATATGGACCGACGCGAGTAGATATAATCAAAGATTGAATCTTTGCTCCGTACTCGACAAATAGCCGTAACAAGGTACGTAAGACCACTCGCATTTTCGACATTTGATTGTAATGGTCTTCTTCCAGCTCTTGTTCACGTGCACCGACAAAAGCAACGAGTTTATAAAAGTTTAGGTGTTTTAGGAAAGCAGAGTAGGCGTACACTGTGGAGCGATGTGTTTTCGGGAATTTGCTAAGAGGAAATTTAATTCCACTGAATGTAAGTTCGTCGCGTTGATCATCCGTTAGGCATTTGAGATACGTGTTTA